AAAAAAAAAAAAAAAAAAAAAAAACCTCTACCACTCTTGGCACTCTTGGTTTGGGTAGTGTCCAGGAGGCAGGGGGCAAGCTGTGGTAGAACCCATAATAAGCAAGGAGCTTCTAGCCTTGCATGTCATGTCAGAGGGAGATACCAGAAAAGACAGACCGGAGTGTATCAGAAGAGAAGTATGGATGCATGCAGACGGCTGGAGAAGGAAGGAATGGCTTGAGAGTGCAGAGAAGTGGACAGCTCTGGGGTGCTGGCACACTTCGGGGCTCCCGGAAGCATTTCAGCTGAGCACAGCAAGTACGTCACTGGTGCAGGGCTCTGAACAGGGCTGACACAGGCCAATAAACCCTGCACTTCCCCAGGGCACAGAGGAGAAAGGGGAAGTCACGTCGAAGGTGTCTATAAAACATGGTCTGAGCGACAGCCCTCGTTAGAGGGTTCTGTTAGGTGTTTAAACAGACAACTGAAGAAAATGAGTTTCCGTATGAACTTTTTCTCGACTAGGAACTAACAGCTATTGGGCAGTCCTCGAGGAGCTAGCACCCCGCAGTCTCCATTCTGCTGTCTAACACTGTATCTTCTGCTTTACTGTCCTTCTCTCTCTAGACTGTGCGCGCGGAGACTGTGTCGCATGGCACTGGGTATATATGCGTCGCACACTTGTCACACACGGACGCTCTCAGTAAATATTTTTAATAAGTAAACGAGGGATTTCCAAATACTGTCTCCCTTCTAAGTTCCGGGGTCACTGTCTCCATCCACCTGCTAGGCACTCCTATTTCCCATAAGCCCCCACTATTGTCAAATTCATACAAAGTCAGCACCACCCTTGACAAGTCTGCAAGCCCCTGTGGGGTCCCCGCTTCTGACACTGCTGTCATCTTTGCCTTCATCATTTTTGATAAGCCTGAGCTCCTTAATTATCCTCCCCAAGCTGAGACATCACAGAATTTCTTTGCGGGGGGTGGGGGCTGTTTTTCTTTTAATTGGGTTGTCTAAAAATGGCTTCATCACATCTTTACAAACAAAACTGTCTGGATGTCTAGTCTTATAAGACCTGATTAACCTAAATCAATAAGGTCAGTAAATTTCTTCCATAACTGACTATCAAAGATTCTCTGCATTTTATTTCTTAGCATCATCTCAATCTTGGCAGTCTTGTTAGCACAAAGGATATTTTAAGAAAAAAAATATGGAGGAGAAAAAAGAGGCTGTGTGTTTCACGATGTGCTGTCTTTAGAGACCGGAAGAAGCCAGGTTTGTTCAGACGCTGTGCTGGGAATGGGGTCACTCCACAGGACAGCCTCCCGGCTCATGCTCCCGAGACAATAATTAAGACAGCCTTCAGGAGAAGACAGGAAAGGGAGTTAGCAGAATCTGCTCTGGCTGAACGTATGAAAGCAGGCACCACAGGCTCTATCAAATGTCAGGGGTAAGAGTGAAAACCAGGTGAGAGCGCTGTGAAATGGCCTCAGCCCTGGCAGGTGGGGAGTTATTTCACAGCGCCTCCCAATCAGTTCAAACACGACCCAGGAGAGCGCACTAGACACGCCTGCGGCTTACTAGATGATCCCTCCTGGATTGAAATCATGACTATTGTTTTAATTCATTCATTCATTGACACATGTGTGCAATACATTGTGGTCACACTCATTCCTCACCCCTCTTGTCCCCTCCTCACCCCTTCCCCCACCAGGTCCCCATGTCCCTTTCATCTCTTTATTTTGTTGTTTGTGTTTGCTGTGTGACTCGCTGGGTTTACCCAGGGCCCACTGTGTGGGCACGGGTGGGGAGTTATCCACCAGAGGGGATATATCACCAATGGCAACCCCATGGACCCAGTGACTTCTTCTTCCCAGTAGCCAGCGACTGCAATGCTGTGCCCGCTGTCTTTACCGCAGCGCTTACCATCACAATCGGCCTCACGGGAATGTTCTCTTGTGAAGTGCCAGGTGGGGGATCATTCCATTCTGGAAATTTGATGACATCTCTTTGATGCAGGGGCTTCTTTGGATATGGCTTCAGGGGCGAGGAAGGAGGAAACCTGAATCCAAGAAGAAATGCTCTATTATTGCAGACAGTAGGAGACAGGTGGTTCAGCACTCAGGGGAGTGATGAGCCCGTTCTTGATTAAATTATCAAATGTGTAACAGCATTATCAACAATGACTTTTAAGATATTCATTCATTATGCCCACCAAATAATATTTATAGAGAAAAGGGTATAAAATAGGAGACATTTATTATAATAAGCCTTGTTTGAACCTGTGGCACTGTGCACATTACACAGCCCTCTGCCACCGCTACACCCTTAGCTCGCCATCAATCAGTCTCACTGAGACAGGGACTGGCTACAGGGTCCAGACAGACCCGGCATTCACAGTCCCCCAGCCTCCACCTCTGGAAAGCAGGGATCACAGTGTAGACAGCTGTGGCTGGCTTCTCGCTTGATTTCTTTTTCTCTCTCTTTATCTTTAAGATGAGGTCTCACTCCGGTACTCAGGCTTGAACTCCTGGCCTAGGCAACCCTCTGCTTGTGCTGCCAGAACGGCAGTATCAAGCGTGTGTCACCTCACCAGTTCTAAAGGTGCTCTTAACGCAACGGGAGGCCCTGGTTTCACCCAGCGTGAAATCTTCTTTGCCTCCTGGCTCTATTGCTGAATTTTACAGACGGAGAAATGCTCAGTGGGCGTGGCCGAGGGGCAGCACACTGACTGACATTCAATGACTCCTTCGCTGGCACCCCACCACCCAGCTAGACCCCAGCCCTGGGTGCACTTTTATAACGACTTCTCAGAAAGACTAACTCCTCTTCCCTGGAATATCCAACATGTCACACAGGGATTGAAATATCAAGCAAGAAATCCATCTTCGGGGAGGTAGAAAACAGTCTGGAATGTTTCTGCTTTCTCCAATGGCCCCTCTTCCTGGATCCCCTGACTATCAGGGCCATTCCACCTTGAACATAAGAACTCTCTCCTGAAAATGGATTGCACTGCACCAATACAGAACTTATGTTAGAGGCTGGACAAATGGCTCAGTGGTTAAGAGCAATGCCTGTTCTTCCAAAGGTCCTGAGTTCAATTCCCAGCAACCACATGGTGGCTCAAAACATCTGTAATGAGGTCTGGTGCCCTCTTCTAGCCTTCAGGCATACACGCAGACAGAATGCTGTATACATAATAAATAAATAAATATTTTTTAAAAAAGAACTTATGCTAAATATGTGTCTTTTCTCATAAGACATTCCTCTATACATTTTTTATAACAGGATACAGTGAATATATCAGTAGGCTGGATGTGTGGCTCAGGGGCAGAGTTCTTGCCCAGCATGTGGGAAGCTTTGGCATCTGGGATGTTCAATCCCAGCACTGCAATAAACAATAGGGAAGCATCTCAAAAGCAATGCAAGAAAGAAATCAGAAAGTTGCTAACTTTTGTTTTTAAGATTCAGGCCCAAATAAAGGTCTAAAACCTTCCCCAGAGAAATCAGAGAGATGGCGCCTTGGCTAAGAGCATGTCTGTTTTAGACAACCCAAGTTCCGTTCCCTGCATCCATATCAGGCAGCTCACAACCACCTGCCGCTCCAGTGCCAGAGTATCTGATGCCCTCTTCTGGCCTCCATGAGCACTGCACTCACACACACATACACAGAGACACACATATACACACATATATTTAATTTTCCCTGTGATAGCTATAGGAAAAGTAAATCAGATTAAACATTTTATTCTTTAAAAAAATGTTTAATTGAAAATTTCATACATGTACACAAATGGATTTTATCTGCCCTCCACTTCAGCTAATCTACCACCCAGCTCTTCCCAGTTTATCTTTTTAAATATTCCACAAAGTCAAATTTGCACCTCCCACATCCTCATGAGTATGAGGCCATCCTTGGCACTCCGTCACTACCAGGGGCCACACCCTTAAAGAAAAGTGATTCTTCCTCCCCTAGATGACATTGGCTGTCAATAGCTAAGAGTGCACAAGCCCCGCCCCAATACGGACACACATGCACACGCACACGCACACACTGGAATGTGACAGGCTTCATCTGTGCAGACAGCCACAACTGCTGTGAGCTCCTAAGTCACATCCAGAAGATGTGTTTGGCCCTGGTCCTCCCCACCTCTAGCTCTCACCATCTTCCCAGCCCTGTCTTCTGCAACGTTCTGGAGCTTTAGGGATGGAGCGTTAGGGACAACGGGTGTGACACAGATGCTTACGGCCCAAACTTCCATGCACACATAGTCTCACGCTTGGACCAATCGTGAGTTTCTGAGTTGTGAGTGTCTCATTCTAAGGCACACACTGAATCAAAGAGTTCTAAAAGTGCCAACGTCTTCAAAGAACACTTCGCTCACGGTGAGTCAGGAGACATGACGGTAACAAGAGCACTACAGGAACCTCTTCACAACAGTCACAGGAGACATCAAAAGAGCCAAGGAGAGAAAAGCTCGACTCCGCATCCTCTAAAAAGAACATCCAATAGCCGCACTGCATTTTAAGTCAGTCTGAATCAGAAGAAAAACCACGAGGTCTGGAAATCACCAGTTCAGTTAGATTAACTGAAACCAGCACCAGTGGATTATTAATGCAGGTGACAGAATCCCAAATATAAAATAAATGAAAATATTAAGCCAGCCAAGGATACTTGAGTCTGTATGTTAAGGCCTTCTCAGCTGGGTGGTAGTAGCACACAACTTTAATCCCAGCACTCAGAAAGCAGAGGCACATGGAGCTCTGTGAGTTCAAGGCCAGCCTGGTCCACAGAGTGAGTGCCAGGACAGCCAAGGCTACACAGAGAAACCCTGCCTTGAACTAACCCCCTCCAAAAAAAGGCTGTCTCATAACGGTACATCTAACATCTAACTCTCCTCTCCTCCTCTTCTCCTTCCCCCAACCTTCTTTTTTTAAGCAGACCCTTGCTACTGCCCAGGCAGGACTTGAACTACAGATCATCCTTCCTTCAGCCTTCCCCTGTGCTGAAATGACAGACGTACCACACCTAGGTCCACTCTGAATCCTTAAAACCAACAGTCACAACAAAACCTCCTTCCAACCCAAGCTTATCATGTGGGCATGCGCCCTCCCACAGACTCACCTGCGTATATAACCCGAGTTCCTAAACCATGCACCTAGCAGTTCACTCTCCACTATGGTATGGACACTGGGGACCTGAGTTCAGACTTGGCTCTCTCGCTCACTGCCTGTACGTCCTTCAGAAGGAAAAACCTCCTTAAATAGTAACTTAGTGACTATACACTCCCCTTCTGCTTTGGAAACTTTATCCTTGTATCTCCACTGAGAAAGAAGTATCTCAAAGGATAAAGCAGAATTTCTTATGTACAGACTATCTCCTCACCCTACCTGGTGATGAGATCTCTGCCACCAGTGACACCCGGCAGGTAGGTATCCTATTTCTACATCAGACTGGAGACCTAGCCGGAGGGGGTAAAAAAAAAAAAAAAAAAAAAAAATGTACAAGGGCTCCCTCTGGAGGTGACAATTGGAGATAACTTCTGGAGACAAGAAGTTACCAGTTTAATCCTAGCATTTGACTCCTGCGGTCTGGGGCTAGACATCTGCTTCAAACTTCATTTAAATGAAATAGAAATATTTCCCAAACAGGAAAGCAATTTTTTAAAGAAAGCTCCACAACTAACTGGCTCGAAGCACAAAACATTATAAGATTTATAAGCTCCTCAGTAGGTGTGTGAGCAGGCCCTCAGGAGTCTGAGGCCAGCCTGGGAGACACAGCACAAAGCCTGTCTCCAAAACAAACACCGTGAGTGGACAGCAGCTCACAGAGACATGCAATGTGTACAAAGAAGAAAAGACCCTGGAGTGTTCACCTCCCTACCCCAACGCTCAAGGAGCAGGACAAATGAAGGGAACAAAGATTCTAAGGGCCTGAAGTCAGGAAGACCAAACCAGCATGAAAGGGGGAGGAGCTCACGAGGCCCCACCCCTAGGTGAACTCTAAGGGCAGCTGAAGGTGGCAGGCAGGAAGAGTCCATTTCCTCCAGGGGTGTGAGCCTCTCCTCTCATGAGCTGGTCCTGTAATCCACCTAAAGCACCAACCGGACTCAATGAGTTGTTGGTTTTTGATTTTTTTTTAAGGAAGAGAATATGAAGTTTGGAGAGGACAGGTGGCGTGGGAAGTGGATATGATCCAAAAACTTTGTATGCACTTGTGAAATTCGTAAAGAATTGATATATAAAATTCAACTTAAAAATAAAAAACTAAGTAAACAAAAGCAATTTTTGAAAAGAAAAAAATTGCAGGTCCTTTATAAAATGCTATTGAAAGACATTAAAGAAAACGTGAACTAAGGAATGCCTCAGTGAGAAGGATTCAAGGCAATAAAATGTGAAGGCGAAATGGCATTGCAGCGAGTTCAGGGGTGAACACCTTTGGACCGTCACTGTCTTTGGAAGTGTGGCAGTCTGCTGTAGGGATGCAGTATCACTTCTCCTACATGCACCACAGTGGCCTTGTCCTGTTTACTGAACAGACCATGCATTCCCAGTGTGCACTGTCTACTCTGTCATTCCCCGCGTTTTCAAACTGGAGGATGTGGCTTGGATTCACTTCATTTAGGCCCATGTCTCCCAGCTTGGGACGGACCTTTGTGGGGGATATTTGTCAACGTCTTGGAGAAATACCTGGTCTTTCCCCAAGACTGAGCCCATCAGGAAGTTGCCCAGGGCCCCAGCAGTAACAAAAACTCAGTATTTACCAAAGCAGATTGTCACAAGTAACAAGACCCTCCTGTCACTTGGGAAATCCCGGGACTGCGGATGTAGTCAATACTCCATCATAGGCTTTAGGAGTCACAAGGGACTATGTCACAGAGGACTTCTGAGTAGCCCAAGACAGAGCAGAAGCTTAGTCAAAGAACTATAAGATTGTGACTCCATCTCATGGAGCAAATCCCAACAGGATTCCTAAGGAAGCACAAGCTTCTTAAGACAGGATAGTAGCAGAACTACTACCATGTGTGCAGTTGAAAGGAGAACTGAAAATCAAATCCACCT